TACTTCCAGATCGAATCCTTTGCTACTGGGGTGACAGGAGGACATCACTCGAGCTACATACTGCGCCAGATGTTCGGTGGGCTCGGTGTCGCAGCGCAGCAGGGAGAGGCGATAGTGGACGGCCATGCGAGCCTCACAAATGCGGACCAGAAACTGACCAAAGCGATAGATCCAAATTTTGCCTTCTTGATCTATGCGCAGAGCTGAATGCAGATAGCTGTATCAATAACTGAAGTAATTGAGAACGTTACCAGACCAGGCATTGGGCATGATCAGCGAACGACTTAGCGCGTGTTATGTCAAAGCCATCGACTACCGTATCGGCAGGGAGTAGTCTTTTGCTGTTAACTTTCGATTCACTGAAAGCCGCACCGCAGTAGACAAGGTCGATATGGAATAACCAAGTGGAACACTCAAAATATCTAAAAGCGAGACAAGTCGGGCATAAAGACTTATCATCTGTCTGTAAAGTCCGCTCATCGCACCAGTCAATCTAAGCTAAGGAAAAAGATGCTACTTGAAATCGTAGACCTTGGTTCCCCGAAAAGCGTCACATCGAGCTGTAACAAGTATATAGAGTTTTTTCTTTCTTTCTTTCTTTCTTTCTTTCTTTCTTTCTTTCTTTCTTTTCTTTTTTTTTTTTTGGTCTCAACAAGTATCCGCTGTAAATTCAGAAAAGTGTGTTGCAGCGCACCTAACAGGTGAACTCAGAGGCTCAATATCCAACTCGAACGAATAATTGAGATTGCGAACCTCCTGATTTTTCTGGCTGTCCTAATCTTTACTTTTATCTGCTAGAACTTTTCCACTCCGATGTCATTGTCTGGTAGATAACTGCTTGAGTGGTTCTACGGGGCTGTCCCTTTGGAGCTCTAGCGTAAGTCTTCCGGTATCTGCGGTCGTCCTGTCTGCGTTGTGACTGTGCCTCATATCAAACCTTATGAATAATTATGCTAATACCGCGTTGCATTCTCGTCTTCCTGTTTACTCAGCACCGACTACTGGCCCCAGTAAGTCTACTCATTATAGGAAACTAGCTGCGCAATCATCCCTTTCCAGATCACATCACTTATTCAAAACAACTCGAACGTGACCGAGTCGTTCTACTGCTCATTTAGAAAGAAAAACGGTGTGAAAATTCACTAGTTATTACTGTTGAATGAATGTATCCGCTTTCCCATTACCAGAAAACTTTGATGGGGAAAGAATGAGCTGGTCTTCTAGACGCATGGAGTGGCTGCCCTTGGTGTGAGTTGCTGCTTTAGGTTAATCACACGGTCAAAGCTATTTAGGAAGTATGTTATGTATACACGTAATAGAGCTATACAATCTGGTGAGGCTGGTGATGATTCACACATCCAGTCGGCCTCCACGGGCCATAGATATGAAGATGGCTATTTAATCTGGTATTCCTATATGTTACCGCAGCCCTCCATGTGTTTTGATCCTGTGAAAGCTATACCGTAGCACCAAGAAGACAGGTCAGCCCGAACAACCATATATTCATCAGTGTAGTCCCTCACTCCCGAACGCCAGATATAGCGATTCTCCCACTCACAAATCGCTCCACTCGCTCTCATTATCCTTCCTAGCCTTCTCCACATGACCGCGGAACTTCTTACTCATCAGCACCACCCTGCGGAGATGCTCAACCTCGACCACAATCTCATCCTCCTCCTGCTTGAAATCCGGATCCTTCGAAGCCTCGTACTCAGCAATCGCAATTGCCGACTGAAACCCGTTACGAATCTCGCGTCCATTCCACTCCACCTCGGCCATCTCATCGCCCTCCAGGACAAACTTCCTCGCCTCTTCACTCATCCTGACCTGTCCCTTTGCCTCACGCTCTAACTTGTCCAAAAACGAGGCCCAAATGTCACGCCTCTTGGCGACATCGAGCTTCTCGAACCCAATCGCGACGTGCACGCGCGACATAAACGCCTCGTCGATATGCTCCACGCGGTTCGTCGTCAGGAACAGCAGACCACCAAAATACTCCATTTTCCGCAGGAATGCGGTAACAATGCCGTTCCGGGCGAGATCCGTGCTGCGGCGCTCGAGGAAGATGTCGGCTTCGTCGATCAGCAGCACCGCTCTCCACCGATGCGCGAGATCGAACCACTTCGTAATCTCTCTCTCGATGCTCTGCTCATTCGTCCCGAGATCCCCAACCGTCAGACTCAACATCGGCCGCCGCGTGTGCAGCGCAGTGAGCTCGACGGTGTAGGTTTTGCCCACGCCGGGGGGGCCGTAGAGGAGGACGGCCACGCCGGCGCCCTTGTGCTGGACGAAATCGGCAGTCCATTCGACTTTCCGCTTCAGTTGGGGGTAGGACAGCGCTTTGATGATTTCGCTGTTCTCGTCGCCAATGTTGGCGTCGGGGACGGCGTACTTCAGCGCCTGGATCGGACGCATGTAGTCGACGTGCACGAGCGTCCAGAACTTCTCGGCTAGAGCGAAGCCGGGCATGATGGGGCACATCATGAAGAGGTGGTCGTCGGTCAGGAGGCCGCGGGCGTGGACTTCGGTGTCGAGCGCGAGGGGCTGCGGGAGTCCGGGGCGCTGCTTAGGATCGATGCGGCCCTCGTCGAGGCCGCGGTCCCAGGACAGCTTCCAATTGTGGTAGGGCAACGACTCGCCAGAGGCGACGAGCGCTTCGGCCATCATCGGGCCCTTGTACACACGCTTCTTCTCGTCCATGCATTCGCCCTCGTAGGTGACGTATGCGCAGCCGTGCCAGAGGATATCCCGCATCTTGCGCCCACGGGCCTCGAACTTGTCGCGGCGCGCGTTAGCGTCGGTTTTGTCGTGGTGCTCGCGCGGAAAGATGGGGAGTGTAGTGACGTGTTTTTCGCCTTCGAAGTAGGGAATGTCAATTCTGACTTCGGCGTAGCCGACGGTGTGCGTGCTCCACGAGTTGTCGATCAGCCAGCCGGTGATCTTCCATTTTGATGGCGCGTCTCCGCTGTCGGCAGCAATGGACTCGGCCTCTTTGATCATGACACCCAGCCAGATGTCTTCGTACTTGGCGTAAGCGAGCGAACCGGGCCGCATGAGGTACCACAGATCGTCGAAGGTCACGGTGGCCACATCCTTCTGGAGACGGCGGCGCGCTGGCAGCACCGTCTTCTCCACGTACGGGTTGAGGAAGTCGAGGAGGATCTGGAGGTGCTCGCACTTGACGTCGGCGTCCGTCTTCTCCGCCTCATTCGAATCGGTGGGTGCCCGCTCGAGGGCGAGGTTGTTGCTTAGGTTCCGGAGCTCGGTGATGTAGTGAACGAGGGCGCAGTAGGGCTCATGAACCGTGATGGTGTCGCCAGTCAGATTCTGGCTGAGAAGTTCGTCAGCCCGTGTCCATGTACAAGTAGTTCGAATTTCCAGGAAAGCGCTCACCTCGGATAGTACTCTACAACCTCCCGAATGGCAGCCAGGAGTAGTGGTGAATGGATAACCATCCTCGTCTCATTAACACTGAGGATGCGTTTTCCCTTCAGCGTTTGCTTCGGCCTCTCCTTCTGCTTCTCTTTCTCCTCCTCCTCCTTCTCCCCCTCGTCAAAATTCTGGGGGCCTTCTATACTGAAATTCTTAATGTGGTCTGTGTACTTGGGCCGCATCGAGGAAACTTTTACCGAAGTGATGATCTCGAATACAGGCATCGTCTCATCGGCGTCGGTCGGGTCCCTTGCTATTTGCAGGTCGAACGGCGTGTCGTCCTGCTTGCATTCAAAATTTGGACCGTTCTGGTCCTCACACTCAACCTTGTATCTGATCTTGGACGACATCTTTTTGAGGACCTCGGTGGCCGGTGCCGCGTTGGCGATCGGGGGATTTGCAGTGTTGGAAACCGCCATCATGCTTGTGTTCTCGGGGCGCTCGGTCGCAGAAGAACGGTTTCAGAAATGAATGGTTGAAACTGCCAGGGTTTGGTGAGGGCGGAGGTAGGATAGGTTTGATGTTGGGATGATAAGGTAAGAAGCTGGAAGTTATAAGCGTTAAAGAGCTGGGATGCGTGCTGGCCTTCAGCCTCCGGCTAGGCGGCAGTCACACGCCCCGCCGAGACAGCAGGAAATAGTGAGGTGCGCGACGGAGCTGTTGGATAGTCAATTAACTGAGGTTTTTGGGGATGAATCCAAGGGTGTCCAGTGACTTGAGAGAAGTCTGCGCAAGGGCGCAATTCAATCACCAACACAACTTTCGTCGCAGGCGACTGTTTCTCAACGCACGCTTCCTTTCCTGCTGCCTATGAAAAGTTGCTGGTGGGCCAAATCAAATGCTAAGTTTGAATTTGGGATTGACCTTGCTGCTGGGATTTGGCGGGCCAGCCTTCTGCAGCGATGACTACCTCGCACCTCCGCTTGATACTATCCAACACCAAGGCGAATAACGATGGTGGAAGATGCTGCCATGCGCCCACCAACTTTTCTTTAACAACACCTTGGTCTCTAGATACGTTTATGAGTTCCACATAGAGTTCTAGCCCCTTGATTGTCCGACGAACCAGACGTGTTTAATCAGATTTAACTCCGAGCCGTATGCTGGCCAGCGAATGACTTTGAACTTTGGCGCGCTTTTCTTCGACCTGTTCGTATAGTTCAATGACTTAATGAATATATAAACTACCTACATGGATAGCATGACTTTTCGCCTGATATACGATATGCTTTACTCGAGTAATCGAAGATGGGAGTTGGCGGAGTACCTATTTCGCTTCGCCTCCGGATCGCGCATCATTACGTGCAATTTAAACCTTCCACAATTTCCAGAATACGCTGCTGACGGGCATGCCGGCAGGAATCTTTTGTTGCCTCAGACCATAACACACTGGCTGAGTTATTCTTTCTTTGTTCCTCGGTTAGGTTTTGGCGTAAGTTGCTGGACAGCGCATATCGCTGCCTATTTTTCCTCTCGCTAATTGACAACTCTCACACACTATCAGTCGCAACAGACCCTACTCCTGCGAACTCAACATGTGGGTGAATCTCTATGATGGCGCATACGAGCCGCCATCTCAGCAATTCCCTGTGGAGTTCTTTTGTATAGGGACAAAAGTCTGCGCGACGCGCGAGACCCCCTCCCCTTTCCGCGTCAGCGTGATATCACACAACGCGCGACGTCAAGTATGGTTATAGTGTACTCGTATTGTATATGAAAACTAACTAAATGCGTAGAGAAAGCATAGAGAAGGCGGTAAACTTTATCGGTACTACTAGTAATCGCTGATATTATCTCCAACTCCATTTGAACACCATAACATCTGCTTCTAAGCGCCTTTCAATTCGGTCTCCGACTTGCTAACGCCCCGTTTTTCTCGTCCCGTCTCGGTCAACGCCTCATGACGAGCAAAGCCGAGACGCCTTCCACCTTGCTAGGAGTCAGTGACACGATGTGGCCGAGGCGTAGCGAGTAGGCTGGTACTTCTAGCGCCATGGTATGTGTAAGGGTCACTTTGTCATGGTGAGGGTGGGTAGTGATGCGACATAGTAGATAGCGAGCGGAATGCAAGGCCGGAATGTGGTCGAGGCCATGGGTCGTGCCTCTATACGGGATAGCGTTGTATGCCCTTTAGCGAGGGCGAATAGGAATATTTACGGAGCCTAATTAAAAGTCCGCATGAACTGAAAATCGTGGGTCGTGCTTTGGGGGATAGATTGTGTGCTGTGATGGGAGGGCTATCTTTTGTCGCCTCCACTTGGCCGTAAATCATTGTTTCCAGGGTATTCTCAACATTCTGTTGCCTTTCTCGACTTCACACGGCTTGCTATTCA